CCAAAAAATTTTTTAAAAATAATAATAATTTTTCAAAAAATGTAAAATGCGTGATTGGGACAGCCAAATCTAGACGGCCTGAAATGTTTATAAGGTCGGCCTAAGTGGGTGGCTAGGCTGCTTGCATTCTTTGCTCTAACCACTGAATACAGTGTGTAGCCTTTGTCTTTGCTTCTGTCCAGCATTGAAGTTAGTCCAAGATAAGTGTATAAATAAATAAGTCAAATTAATATGGAGTGTTTTTGTTCCGTTTTATTTTTATCCAAAAACAAAATCAAAACTGCTCGCTGACCTGAATATGTCTGTGTCTACATCTTAGATAATGTTATCTCTTATCCTTTCCTTCTCCACTTTCCCTCTCAATATATATATATATATATACGTGTGTGGGCACACAGCTACGCCCACGTACGTCATTATAACTCTTACATCATACTCTCAGGTATAGTAAGAGTTTAATAGCACTTGCAACCCAAATAAGGCATGAAAGAGCCGAAGATTAGAGTAGAGGTATCATACTAGATAGAGATTAGTTAGTTTTAGTAGAGGTATCATACTAGATAGAGATTAGTTAGTTTTTTTTGGGAGGTTTTACGGCGCTCGCAACTGCATAATAAGGTCACATGAGCGCCAGATAGAGATAACCTTGCAAAGACAAGAATCGAAGAGAGATAAGGACAACATGATATATTTGATTTGATAGGAAACAAGGAGCAAACCACCCCGGAGCACCCACAGACCAACCACCCTTATCTTGTTCTTGTAAAAGTGTTATTATTCAGGTGGTACATTTCCATTTTTTTTTAGGTTGAGTTTTCGAAAATTTTGTCTCAAATTAAAAAAAAGAAGGACTATTTTACTTCCTGATCAAAGGATCACATCGGAGACGAGCGGAAGTAGTAGTTAGAGCGCGTACTGAGCATGATAATAAATTATGACCCCGCTTATCTCATGAAGGAAGTTTATTAAAGCCCTTATCTTTGTGTGCAGCCCCACGCAGTCTCGACAAGGAGGTTATTTAGTAAGATGTAAGGGCCTTGTTAACTTTCTCTAA